TTGGGAGGGTGCGGGGAGGGGAAGGTCGGAATCCCGCCTGCCGGTGCCGCCGCCCCCGACGCCTTCCGTCCAGTCTCCGGGACGTCCCCCCTCCCCCAGGCCCTTTAGTCGTGTGGGCCCAGGGCCTTCTGTCGCCGCTCGTAGGGTCCTAGGCTTCAGAAACACTCCTCCGCCGCTCCTTGAGACCTTCGCCCCGTCTGACAGATGTTCCTTGCCCCCTTTGGAGCCCCGGGAGCGTCCCCTGCCACGGTTCCGGTCCGTCCGGTGCGGAAACTCACTTCAGCCCTGCCCCATCTGACAGATGCGCCCACCCGACCCGGAGACTTTGACAAAGTCCTCGGTGCCCCAGTCCTCAGCGCTTACTCTTTGCTTCTGTGAGACTCAAACTGAGCATGGAACCTACATGGCCCCCTGCCCCGTTACATCCCACTGAACGCCTCTAAGGCCCTATCTGGCACACAGTTCCTTCATCCTCTGAGCCTTTGCCATTCTCTGAACTCTAAATTTGGAGTTCAACTGGCCTCCCCGGCCCCTTTGAAAAACTAGACGTGAAAATTCACCCTTGGGGTTTCCTCTGCCACACACTCCTCACCCAGGGATGCTTCGGACCTGATAGATGTCTCAGAAACTTAACACAAAGTTCTGTGATTCCAACTCTTTCTGTCCGCAGTCGGATCGCTGTACGTGCAGACACCAGGTTCTCACCTTACCCCACTTAGGGCTCAGCTTGTGATGAGTAGGCCACCCCTGGTTCCCCCATTGTCTGTGCAGCCCCAGCTGTTTTGTCTGGTGGAGATTCCTGACGAGGGTTGTGAAGCCACTTCCCTGTCCCTGGCTCCCTGGCTCCCTGCCTCTGCGTGGCGTCTCCAGCCTCCTGACCCTGGTGTTTTGTTGAATTCTCTTTCTGAGTGCCTCCCACCCTCACCCTCAAGACAGGCAGATGTTGCCCCTCACAAGTTCTGCCCAGAGAGATCTTTTCTTTGAGATCCCCCGGGATGGGAGTTTGGGCTCACATTTGCATTACACCCCAGACCTGCCCATGCTGTAGTGTGTGGAAGCAGCTGCTGGTGTCTGCTGTCAGTGGCAGCCTTAGTGTCCCTGCATTGGACAGGTTCTGGGGGTTATGGGTGGAACCTCAGCTTTCCTGGGGTGAGTCGCCTGGCAGAGTGACAGCAGACATCAAGGATAAGGAAGAAGGTCATCTTCTTAGTTCTGGGGATAGACAGCCTGAAACTTGCCTGGGCTGAGCCTGTCTTCCCAACCCACAGGCCTGGGTTCTGAGGAAAACGCAATGGTGGCCATGGACTTGGGCTCTCCCTCGCTCCCTAAGAAGAGCCTGCCTGTCCCTGGGGCCCTGGAGCAGGTGGCCAGTCGGCTGAGCAGCAAAGTGGCTGCAGAGGTTCCTCATGGCAGCAAACAGGAGCTGCAGGACCTCAAGGGTGAGTGGCCCAGGTGGCATGGCAGGGGATGCTGGCCAGGCTGGTTACACTCACAGGGGCACTCTTGTGCCTTGGGGTTAATGTGGGGCTCCAGGTTGCCCGCAGTTTTCCCTCTGGCACCTTGAGGCACCAAGGTTGGCACTCAGCTGTCTTCTCCCTTGAACTTCTGTCCTGGGCATGCATGGCCCTGAGCTGCACCCTCATGCGGTGAGGGACAGCATCCAGAGAAGCAGTGGGCGTGGTGGTCCAGAGCTCATACTCAGACCCAGCTCATTTGCTGAATCTGGCCTTTGCTAGCTGTGTGATCTCTCGCATGACACCATTTCTTCGTCTATTGATCCTAAGGTTGTTAATGACTAGTGGCGGGCCCTGGGGTGGACAGGGAGGTGAGATGAGCAAAGTTAATTTGGCCGTTGCTCTTGAGGGCCATTCAAGTTGGGGAACAGGGAGACAGAGAAGCAGATGGACACGAATAAAGGCTCTGTGGAAGAGGGTGCAGGAGACTGCAAGGACAAGTGTTTCGGGCAGGAGTTGAGCCACAGAGGGTGGTTAGAACTTAGTTCAGTGAAGCATGTGGCTGGCAGGTCAGCGTTTGTGTGAACCTGTTGCCAGGGCACCCAGTAGGCCTGAAAGGTTCTGAAAGGTGTCCCACTGGCTGGATGACAGAAGGGCTCTACCTCCTGCTGTGTGCCCTTGGGCACAACTTTTCCCTCTCTGAGCCTCAGTTTCTAACCCTCACTGGCAAAGCAGCCAAGCTATTCTCCGCCTTGTTAGGGTCATTGTGAGGTTCGGGGGGCCTGACGGAGGCAAAACACTTCCATGGAGCCTGGGTGAGTGGGACTCTCGGGGGAGGAGAAGCGGGAGAGCTGGGCCGCAGGCCTCACAACCTGCTCTCCCGGCCTCTGTGTTGCCCTTCAGCCCAGAGCCTGACCACCTGCGAGGTCTGCGGCGCCTGCTTTGAGACCCGAAAGGGCCTGTCCAGCCACGCGCGCTCCCACCTGCGGCAGCTGGGAGTGGCGGAGTCGGAGAGCAGCGGCGCACCCATCGACCTCCTCTACGAGCTTGTGAAGCAGAAGGGCCTGCCTGACGCCCACCTTGGGCTGCCCCCGGGCCTGGCTAAGAAGTCCAGCTCGCTGAAGGAGGTGGTCGCCGGGGCACCCCGGCCCGGCTTGCTCACCCTGGCCAAGCCCTTGGATGCCCCTGCTGTCAACAAAGCCATCAAGTCGCCTCCCGGCTTCTCGGCCAAGGGCCTGGGCCACCCTCCCAGCTCTCCGCTCCTCAAAAAGACACCACTGGCCCTGGCGGGCTCCCCTACCCCTAAGAATCCTGAGGACAAGAGCCCCCAGCTGTCCCTGAGCCCCCGGCCGGCCTCCCCAAAGGCACAGTGGCCTCAGCCTGAGGATGAGGGGCCCTTGAACCTCAGTGAGTGTGGGTCCCGAGAGCCGAGGGAGGTTCTGGCGCTGGGAGGGACGGGACCTCAGGTTGGGCTAGAGGGCCCAGGGTGGGTGGGGGCGGTGGGGACTACAGCTCTCATGTCCTGTGTCAGCCGGGCCAGAATATCGGTCGAGCCTCTGCATCTCCTTTTGGGCCGCCTTGGATGTGGATCGTGTCTCCCACTTTACTTTGCTGATCTTCCCCTGAATGCCTCACTGCAGCTGCTGAGCCTGCCAGGGTCATGCTCGCCACTGAGGGGCAGCTCTTGGCTTTCTCTGGGCCTGTGGGTAGGGGCAGTGAAGGTAACCAGGGTTCCTGTGGCCTAGCTTTCTCAGTGGTAGTTGGAAGCATCTTGGGTAGATGGGGATCACCTAATGGGAGGTGCCCACGGTTGATCCTGTCATCAAGTCTCCCTGGTTGTCCATGCAGAGGCAGCTCTCTCTGCCTGCCAGTGAAGCCCCACCTCCTGGGCTGCCTGTGGGCACAGCAGGTAGGGTTTGGGAAGAAACCCTCCAGGTGCAGTGAGCAGGTTTAACAAGGACGTCCGTTATAACATCAGTCTTTCCCATATCTTTGTGGACATTAGAGTCTGGGGGTGACCCCAGGGTCTCACCCCCTGCCCAACGGAGTCCCCCATTTGGCACCTTATGTTTCCTTGAAATTGCTTCCACTGAGTCTGCCGTGCTTTCAGGGGCACACCTGCCCTTGGCTGCATGAGTCCAGCAGCCACCATCGCCCCCACACAGCTCCCATAGCAGGGATCCTAGGGGAGAGGGTCTGGGAGTATCCGATTATCTGGAATTTGGTCACTGCCTGTCTACCCAACGTCCTTAAGCTCTCTACACTCCCCTTGATGCTAAAGGGCTAGGCAGGAAATAGGATGTCCTGCTTCCCAAACTTCAAAAGAAATCTGCAGCCTGAGTCTTGGACCCCCCAACTGCCTGAGCAGCCAAAAATCACACCAGACCCTCCTGCCTCAGGCCCCCAAGGCCAGCCAAGGTGGCGGCCGTGAACCCCCCCTGTGTTTTGTCTCCGCAGCTTTAGATAGTGACGGGGGCAGAGAGCTGGACTGCCAGCTGTGCGGTGCCTGGTTTGAGACCCGCAAGGGCCTGTCCAGCCACGCCCGTGCCCACCTGCGCCACCTGGGCGTCAGCGATCCGGACGCCAAGGGATCCCCCATAGACGTGCTCCACGGGCTCATCAGGAGGGACGGCGTCCAGATCCGCCTCCCACCCAGGCGCGGCGCCCTGGCCCACCCGGGGCGGCCGCCTCCCACCTCCGCGGCCCTCTCCTTGCTCCCCCCCCCACCGCCGGCCAAGAAGGCCAAGCTGAAGGCCGCGGGTATGGCCAGCCCCTGGGGGAAGCAGGACCTCTCGGCCGCCGCAGCCGCCGGCATTTTCTGGGCCTCTGATGTGGAGCCGTCTCCTCTCAACCTCTGTAGGTTCTCGCTTCAGCCGCCCCCTCCTCACTGCGGGCCCTGGAGCCCCTCCCGGGGGGGGGGGGTCACAGCCCCCTCCCTGCTGGGGCAGGGAGTAGACAGGGGCCCTTGGCAGTGGGCCGGTTCTGCCCAGAGATCTTGTTGGCAGTGGGCTGCTAGGCTCTCTCTCTTGGCCTTTGACCTCCGTGACCCTTCCTGAGAATGAAGGCCAAGGTGGGGAGATCCTGCCTTTTAGTGTGCAAAGCACCCACATCTGCCCCTGTCTGGATGGCACATAGCACCTAGGCTGCCCTCCCTGCCTCACCCTGTCCTTGTTGGGACCCACAGAGCAATGGAATCTTGATTCCATCCTCCTCCGCCAGGACCGAGGGCCCATGTGCTCTCTGGAGCCTCCCCTCACTCCTGCCGGGTATCTGGCCCCCAGCCCCGCTCTTCCACTCCCTTACCTGCACCTGCCCTCACCACCCTAACCTGTGGGCGTGTTGCTGCCGCCCACGCCCAGCCGACCAGGACACTCCTGCAGGTGACCACACTGGCAGTTCTATGATGCTAACTGCCCCCTTCTCCTCCTGCTGCAGCCTCAGGCCCAGAGCCAGCACGAGACATCCGCTGTGAGTTCTGCGGCGAGTTCTTCGAGAACCGCAAGGGCCTCTCGAGCCACGCGCGCTCCCACCTGCGGCAAATGGGCGTGACCGAGTGGTACGTCAATGGCTCACCCATCGACACGCTGCGGGAGATCCTGAAGAGACGGACCCAGTCTCGGCCTGGCGGACCTCCCAACCCACCAGGGCCAAGCCCAAAAACCCTGGCCAAGATGATAGGCGGCACAGGTCCTGGCAGCTCACTGGAAGCCCGCAGCCCCTCGGACCTTCACATCTCACCCTTGGCCAAGAAGTTGCCACCGCCACCAGGCAGCCCCCTGGGCCACTCACCAACTGCCTCTCCTCCTCCTACGGCCCGGAAGATGTTCCCAGGCCTGGCTGCACCCTCCTTGCCCAAGAAGCTGAAGCCTGAACAAATACGGGTGGAGATCAAGCGGGAGATGCTGCCGGGGGCCCTTCATGGGGAACTGCACCCATCTGAGGGTCCCTGGGGGGCGCCACGGGAAGACATGACACCCCTGAACCTGTGTAAGTGTGACCTCGCAGTAGGGCAGGGAGAACAGTTGGAGGGGTCTCCTCCCTGCCTCCCCTTGGGGGTATCCAGAGTGCCTAGGGTTGAATTGGAAGGGAGGACATGCAGGTAGAGAGGACACGGGGTTAGCTGTATGTACTTGCTATGCAGACCCCTGCAACTGAGCTGCTGCTCAGTTGTCCTTTATTCACTTGAGAAGCAGGATTGTGTCATTCAGTGACAGCAGAAAGATTCCATCTCTTGTGCCATTTCCGTCGATTGGTAGTGGCTGCCAGTCAGACTCCTAGGGAGAATGACTGCGGGGATCCATTAGTGATGTCTGCTACAGCAGGAGTGTAGGGACTGGCAGTGAACGTCTGAACTGTGTCTTTCTGACTTTTTTGGTAATTAAATGCTTGACATTTGGAGTCAAGTGTGAGTTAAGATCTCTGTTCCTCCCCAGTCTAGCTCTGTGTGACCATGGGCAAGTTTCCTCATTTGGAAGATGGAGATCAGCATAGTCCCAACTCTGTCTTTTTTTCTTGAGGATTAAGTGGGATAAAGTACTTAGCACACACCTGGTTACAGAAAACTCTGTATGTCGTCCTTATAATGTCACTTGCTCGCTTGCCTGTGATACCAGCACTGTGTTCATTCTGCTCAGATTGATTGGATGCCCACTCTGTGCTGAGCAGGTGAGGGCAGCCCAGGCTGTGCTTTAGCACTCACGTGCGTTGTGTACCAGCTCTGTGCCCCATGCTCAGAGCTGTTCCCATTTTAGACCCTCCCATAGTGACACTGGGAAGTAGGGGTTTTCATTTCCATTTTGCAGCAGAGGAAACTGAGGCTCAGAGAGGGAAAGTGACTTGCCCAGGATCATACAGGGAGATATCTTGAAGCCAGCTAGAATTTGAGATGACAGAACAAGCAGAAGAGCCAGATGTACACAAGGGCCTCTGGAGGCCCAGATGAGGGAGCAGGTTGTTGCGGTCTGGTGGGTGGCATAGACAGGGGTAGCTAGGCAACTGGCACTGATATGGGGGCTTTGAGCTTGGAGGCTTCCTGCCCGCAGCCGCCGCCTCCTTCTCCTCCTCCTCCTCCCCCCTACCCTGGATCCCCTGCAGCGTCCCGGGCAGAGCCGGTGCGCGACATCCGCTGTGAGTTCTGCGGTGAGTTCTTCGAGAACCGCAAGGGCCTGTCGAGTCATGCGCGCTCACACCTGCGGCAGATGGGTGTGACCGAGTGGTCGGTCAATGGTTCGCCCATCGACACACTGCGAGAGATCCTCAAGAAGAAGTCCAAGCCGTGCCTCATCAAGAAGGAGCCACCGGCTGGAGACCTGGCCCCTGCCTTGGCTGAGGATGGGCCTCCCACCATGGCCCCTGGGCCCGTGCAGTCCCCGCTGCCGTTGTCGCCCCTGGCTGGCCGGCCAGGCAAACCAGGTGCAGGTCCGGCGCAGGTTCCTCGAGAGCTCAGCCTGACGCCCATCACTGGGGCCAAGCCCTCAGCCACTGGCTACCTGGGCTCAGTGGCAGCCAAGCGGCCCCTGCAGGAGGACCGCCTCCTCCCAGCAGAGGTCAAGGCCAAGACCTACATCCAGACTGAACTGCCCTTCAAGGCAAAGACCCTTCACGAGAAGACCTCCCACTCCTGTAAGCAGCGGGCGGCAGGGTCCCGGGAGGGCGACCGCCAGGGCCTGCCAGGCCAGGCAATGCCACAAGCGTGGACTGACCCCAAGTGGGGCCCCCATGGCTGGGTCTCTGTGGGAGGCGGGATTGGCACCTGGCCTGTGCAGGGCCGTCTGGGTGCACCTGCCCCCTTCGGGCTGTGGCTCAGCAGCACCCCCTCCGCCCCGCAGCCACCGAGGCCTGCTGCGAGCTGTGTGGCCTTTACTTTGAAAACCGCAAGGCCCTGGCCAGCCACGCAAGGGCACACCTGCGGCAGTTCGGCGTGACCGAGTGGTGCGTCAATGGCTCGCCCATCGAGACACTGAGCGAGTGGATCAAGCACCGGCCCCAGAAGGTGGGCGCCTACCGCAGCTACATCCAGGGCGGCCGCCCCTTCACCAAGAAGTTCCGCAGTGCCGGCCATGGCCGTGACAGTGACAAGCGGCCGTCCCTGGGGCTGGCACCCGGGGGCCTGGCCGTCGTCGGCCGCAGTGCCGGGGGGGAGCCAGGGCCTGAGGCTGGCCGGGCAGCCGACAGTGGTGAGCGGCCTCTGGCAGCCAGCCCGCCAGGCACCGTGAAGGCTGAGGAGCACCAGCGGCAGAACATCAACAGTGAGTGCTGGTGGAGGAGGGTCGGGAGCGCAGCGGGCACCTGTCAGGCCCACCCAGCCACTCCCCAGGTGCTCTGCTGTGGCCCTTTAGTCCTTTCTCCAGTTGCTCACCCATTCACCCGTCCATCCCCCATCTCGCCCATCCAGGTAGCATCAGTCCTCAGCTCTTGTGTATTCCAAGTCTCTGCAGCATCCACCCCTCCCACTCATCTCTGGTCCCTCTCTCCACCTTAGAATTCGAACGCCGACAAGCCCGCCCTCCAGATGCCTCCGCAGCCCGGGGAGGCGAGGACACCAATGACCTACAGCAGAAGCTGGAGGAGGTGCGGCAACCCCCACCCCGAGTCCGGCCGGTCCCCTCCCTGGTGCCCCGGCCCCCCCAGACATCACTTGTCAAGTTCGTGGGCAACATCTACACCCTCAAATGCAGGTAGGCTGCCCCTGGGGGAGGGAGGGAGACCACCTGAGTGGGCCTTGGTCACCCAGAGCCTTGGACAGGATAGGGTCTGGTGGGAGCTGGGAGGTGTCGCCTCAGTGGCTGCCCTTGGGTGTGGCGGGGCTCAGGCTAAAGGCTGACACCCTGAGCTTTGTAGCCTTCGAGAGCTGGGTTCAGATCCCAACTCTGCCACTTACCAGCTTAGTGACCTCAGGGAAGGACTTAACTGTTCCTTACCTCAATTTCCTCACTCATAAAAGCGGGTTGATAACAAACCTACCTTACAGATTTGTTACGAGGAATAAGTGAATTTAATATTTATAAAGCACTCAGAACTGCCTGGCACATGGTAAGTAAGCACTCAACTAGTGTCTGGCTCAAGAAAAAAGTAGGTCTTAGTTAATTCTTACCAAACTCCACAAGTACATCAAAGAGCAGGGAACTGGGACTCTGAGACATGAGGTGACTTGCCTGAGGCCATACAGGCCAAGTCAGAAGTCAGAGTCAAAGCCAAGTCTTGAGCCGTGGAGCTTGGGCTCCAGGCCTCTGTGCTGTGAGGCCTCTTTAGGTGCCAGGAAGACAGGAGGAGGAGGAGGGGGACCTGGCTCATTGGGTAGGATTTGCTTCTCTGTGCCCTCTACCATCTCAGAGTCTATGTATCTGCCAGATGGCAGGGGTGCTTGGAAGCCAGTAGCCCTTAGCTGGTCCCAGTGACTTCTGAGCATAGAGGCAGGGGCTCACATGACCCCATGGTGAGTGGAGGTGGCTGTCCATGGGAAATGCCTGACTTCTGGGCCCCTCTTCCCCCGCCTCCTGGGCTTGCTCTGTCCACACTAAGTAGCAGCAGGTGTGCCCAGGGACATGGGCAAGGCTATGCTTCTGCCTCTCCTCACAGCACTGGCCACTCCCTCTCTCTGTTCACCCACGCAGGTTCTGTGAGGTGGAATTCCAGGGCCCCCTCTCCATCCAGGAAGAGTGGGTGCGGCACTTACAGCGGCACATCCTGGAGATGAACTTCTCCAAAGCGGACCCCCCGCCTGAGGAGTCCCAGGCCCCGCAGGCACAGACAGCGGCGGCAGAGGCTCCCTAACACAAAAGCATTCCAGATCCCCTCTCGTGCCACCTCTGTCTCCTCTTCTTCCTCCTCTGTGTCCTCGTCCCTCTTCCTCTTTCTTTCCGTTTCCAAAGGAGCAAGCCAAAACCTCAAACCGGCGCCCCTTGGGGGCCGGGCACACTACAGCCAGGGCGCCGGGAGCCAGCTAGCTGCCCTTCCCCCAGCCTGAGGACTCTGGGGCCACAGGGTGTCTTCCTTCAGCCCATGCCCACCTGGTCCAGCAGGGGCAGCAGCCAGGTCTCTGGTGGCAGCCGATCTGGTCACAGGGGAGGACAGCACTCCCCCGTCTAGCAGCCAGGCAGGGCAATGTCTGCCATCCGTGGCCATTTGCAAAGACCCCAAAGACCCCTGTTCTGGTTCCCTCTCGCCCCCATGAATATCCTCTCACACGCATGTACATGCGAACACACACACACGCACCTCGTGAGACCCGGGACCTGCCCCGGACCCCCAGTTCCCGGGTTGAACGACCACATCATGCCACGGTGCTTGCTCAGGGGAAGCCACGCTCCCTCTGTGGGGCCTGCTGGGGCCTGGGAGCCCCCCACTGAGCCCACAATGCCACGGAAATCCTTGTTGGTTGCCCCCCAGAGGGGCCTTCCCAGCTGGGAAGAGCTCAGAGCTGACAGCTGCCTCCTGCCATGTCAAGGCCCCCCAAAGAGCCTCAGGGGCTCTGGGGCCCTGGAGGGTGGGGTTGGGGGGTGGGACTCTCCTCCCCCACTCCTGCTCCCTCTCCCTTTTCACTGTTGCTTTCTATGTATAGCTCCCTAGACCTTTCACTTTTTTAAAAACGCGTTTTGTGTAGAGAATAAGGAACGTGGATCTTTTTATTTTGCAATCCTGGGCCAGCTAGAAGCCGGGAGCTGATTGACCTTTTAACTTTTTTCAGTGGCCACATTTTGGTTATCGATGTACCTAGAAGTATGTAAATTAGATTAAATTTCTCTTCTGGAAACGCCCTGGGGCAGGCAGCCAGCGTGTGTTTTTCTGTCGAGTGGACAGGCTGGCATTGGCTGGCAGCCGGGGCTGGGATCGGGGCCTCCTCTGTCCAGAGCCATGGAGGCCCTGGGTTTTCCCGTTGGCCGCCAAGCAAACCAGACGCAGCTGGGGATGAGCCCAAGTTCCCAGCTGTTGGCGCTTTATGCCATGGTTGGTGGGGGGGGGCTCTGGCTGGCTGGCAAAGCGGCTCCAGTGAGCAGACGAACAAGGGTTCTGGGCAGCCCGTCTGGGAAGGGAGCCAGGATCAAGAAGCAGTTGAGGCTAGGGGAGCTTATCAAGGGCAGGAGCTACCAGCGAAGGTGTCAGGGACCCGCTGGGAGCATTTGGTGGGGGCAGTGGGGGTGTAGAGAGCTGGAACTCACCTGCTTTTAATACACGTGACTTCTAGTTAGACACATGCACCCCTAACCCAAGGAACATGGGAAAAGAGGAGCCGCTGGCTCCTTTGCGATGTTATTTATTTTCTTGCTCTGCAAATGTTTATTGAACATTTCTGAGATTTTAAGAGATTTTGTTGGCTGCTCCTTCTTGTTTATTGCATGTGGTTTTTCAGCTCATCCTTTTCACTAAACGGCCAAGTGCTGGAAAGTGGGAATGACCTCATGGCGTGTGGACAGAAGGGGCCACCTCTACTCCCAGCCCTGCTTTCTGGGCCCTCCCATCATACCCCTTCCTGGGAAGGAGGGGTTAACAGGCTGCAATAACACGCCCACAAGGGTGGTCTTGGCCCGCACATCTGCTCCTGTGGGGTCAGGACGCACATCTTGCCTGGTAGCAGAAGGCTGCAACCACTTCTGTCCATCCTGTGCTGTGGGTGGGTGGATGTATCCAAGACTTAGGAAGCAGGAAGAGCATCTTGTGAGCTGACTCAAAGGTGTTTATTCCTCTTTCAACTTTTCATAAGTCAGTTTTTTTTTTTTTTATTTTTTGAGACAGTCTCATTCTGTTGCCCAAGCTGGAATGCAGTGGTAGGACCTTGCTGCCTCCTGGGTTCAAGTGATTCTCCTGCCTCAGCCATCCAGGTAGCCGGGATCACAGGTGTGCACCACCACCCCTGGCTTATTTCTGTAATTTTGGTAGAGACGGGGGTTTCACCATGTTGCCCGGGCTGGTCTTGAACTCCTGAGCTCAAGCAATCATCCTCCCAAAATGCTGGGATTATAGGCATGAGCCACTATGCCTGGCCCATAAGTCAGTTTTTGAAATATAAAAGTGGTATAGGCTAGATGTAACAAAAAACAATCAAATGATACAAGAGCTTATAAAGTCACATGGCAAGTTCCTCCCCACCAATCATGCAGTGAAGTGAGGGTCACGTGTGTCCTTGGAAGAGTCGCCTCCAGTTCTTGCAGGGGGTGTTTTCCTAAAACTTTCTGAGCATTGCTCTTCTCTGCTCAAGCCATTTTAATGCACCTCAGGCAGCAAAGTCTCAGCCTTTGAGCTGTGCTCTCTGTGAGGGTGTTGGATGTAAACGAAATCAAATCAGGGTACAATGATGGCTGTGGCAAGTGCCATGAAGGAACGAACCTGCAGGGCCCTGCCTTGGTTTGAAAGACAAGCAGGCATCCCTGAGGCTGACAGGGAGATGAACCCCAAAGCCAGAGTGCTTATCCGTCAGATCTCTGCTTCATGTGTGGAGTTGCTCACTTAACACATCATAAGTGGCTTTGTTCCATATGACAGCAAGTTCTGCAGAAGCCTCATCTGGGTGGGGGAGTTTTATTAAAACAGTTTATCATGGAGAATTCCAACTATACAAAAGTACAGCAAACAGTAAAATGGACCCTCATCTACCCACCACCAACCCATGACCAATGTCTTCAGCTGTAAGAGGTTTATCTTATAGCTCCTTGCTTCCTCCTTCGCTTTCTACCTGTCTGAATTGTGTGAAGCACATCCTGGCCATAAGATCAGTTAACGTCTTAGTATTTCAGTATGTTTCTCTGAATGTTTTAAATGCCACTATTACACCTAAAGAAATAAATATCAAAAAGCAGCAGCATACCTTAAAAGAAGTATTAAAACATACGAAGTGTAGAAGTCGTAATTGCGCAGCTTGATGAGTTTTCACAAACACGTGTTAAGTACTTTTTTGGGGTAGCTCTGTCATCTCTAGCAATTATGAGTTGTCCCTGGCAGGGGTTTCCGTATGCCCAGGAAACAGACTGAGGACATGACTGGTGCCCGGCTGCACTATTGCAGGATCTCTGGAGTCCAGAGTGAATCAAGATGGTTTCAGAAGCAAAGTCCCCATTTTAACACGTAACTGTCAAGGACCTTGAGCAAATCATGAGTTCCAGGCTTCAGTTTTAAGTGGGGATTAAAAGCTTCTTGCAGGTTTGAAGGAGCATTTGAATGGCACACGATACAAACGGAATTATTACACATATAAGCATATGCCCTATAAATATATTTGTTACCGTTTTGTGACGATTAATCACGTTTATTCAGTGCACTGGCCCCGGAATGATTCCTTTACACACGTTTTGTCATGTAATGTTGAAACGTGTGTCCAGTATCTTGTTTGGTGCCGAGTTTTAATTTTCTCATTCCCACATGGCTTTGCTATGCTTATTTTGGAGCCGAAGGCCAGAGAAGTTGAGACACGTAGCTAGGTTTACCCAGCACCTCGGCGGAGCTGGCATCCCAGCCGTGCCCTGAGCCGTAGACCCGGCTCCCTCTGGCGGGTCTCCAGGGCACTGGCGCTCCTCCAGCCCGACCGCGCTTGGGCCTTGGGCCTTTCCGTAGTGCACAGCTCCACCCCCTCGAATGCTATAGGACTCCGCCTCTCTGCCGGCTTCTCTAGGCCACTCACTGAGGCCTTAGACTAACAGAAGGCGGGGACAAGGCGGGGCTCTCACGAGATTGCCAGCCGTTTCCAGCCACTGATAGGAGGAGGCGTAGAGATAGACAGCGGTATCATCCAATAGGCGTGAAGCCAAGGCCGGTATGAGCCAATGCGGTCGGGAGGCGGGGCTCGGGTGTGTGTCGAGGAGACCCTGTGGTTAGCAGCCGCTATCGCAGCGTCGGATGTGCAGAGCAGCAGCCGCCGGCGTCCTCGGATGTTGTGTTACCCGCCATCATGAGCTACACAGGTGGGCCTGGCAGGGTGGGGTCGGGCTCTGCGTGGGGGATGGGACAGGAACGTGCGGATGCCGCACCAGGCTTGCCCGCACCTCCCCTGGGGCCCCTTCACTGCCCTCCCTGCGGTCACAAAATGGCGCCGCTGGCCCGTCGCCTCAGGGTCGCTTCTCTCACGCCTCGTTGCCTCAGCTCTCTGTGCCTGCAGCCGGCGTCCCGGCTCCCAGCCCCCTGAGGTCTTGGCTTCTGTCGCCTGTGTCCGTGGGCCCGGGCCTCAGCGCGCGAGGTCTCCGCCCCCACTACCTCAGTCCCTGGCCTGCGCTCGTGGACCTCAACGCCTTAGGTTTCCCTTTCTCAGGCCTTGGTCCTTACGAGCAGTCAGCAGGCTCGGCTGCCGTCGCCATTGTCGCGTCCTCCCCCGCGCAGTTTCTCTGCAAAAACGCCGCAGCTCTACACCCCCATCCCGATCCCACCCACCACCCCCTTTTGTCTATTTCAGAACTGGGAGAGGCGCCAGGCCCTAGGGGGATAAGTAAATATTGGAAAGGTTTGGGCTGAGCGGGGAGTCTTGGGCCCCTAGGGGGCTGAACTGCAAGGAATGACAAGGTTCCACGTTAATTCTCTCTACGTCTGTCAAATGAACCGTGTCTGGTGCAGATTGGGCACCGGGAATACAGACAAGACTTCATCAAGCAGCTTAGAGGCGAGGACTGATCTTAATAGGCAAATAAGCGAGTGTAGGATATATTTTAGGGTGGTCAGTACCGTGCGGGGGTCGCTTCACTACATGGAGTGGTTGGAGCCCTCTGTAAAGAGGTGACATTTGAGCAGAGACCTAAATGGAGTGAGAGAATAAAGATATCTGGCCCAGGGAGCTTTTGCTGTAAAAGGCTTACGGGCAGGAACTGCCTGGCTTCTTAGAAGATCAGCCGAAGAGGCCAGTGGGAGGCCAATGAGATTTGAAAGGGGGAGTGGGTGATGAGATCCGAGAGCCCCTCTCCGCCCCCGGCAATATGCTTGGGCGACTGTAAATCATCACTGGGTGAATTGCCAAGGCCTCCTGGGTTTCCCTTGGCAGTGACTGATGAGGATTCTCAGCCAGGAGACTTAGACTAGGCCTCCCCATTTGGTGAGGGTATTACAGGCTTGAGCGTGTGTGGTTGCCAGGTAACCTGCATTCTACTTGGAATGTTGAGAACTGAGAATGGAACATGAATCTCTGGAGCTCCTTTGTAGACCACTTTATGTTTGCATAGGCAAGAAGGTAGTGCCAGTCCCCTCTACCCTGGCTCCCAGGTCAGGAGCTTTCCAAGAACCCCAGTTTTTCTAGCAACCATCCCCCAGCCCAATGGCTTCTCAGCCAAGGGTGATTCTGCCCCCAGAGGACATCTGGCAATGTCTGGAGACATTTTTGGTTGTCACATATGGGAGAGGGAGTGCTGCTGGTATCTAGTGGATGGAGGCTTGGGATGCTGCCTTGCTACGGTATACACAATGACACCTACTGCAAAGAAGTATCTGGCCTCAAACATCAGTAGTGTCCAGGTTGGGCAGTTCTGCCAGAGCCTTTCTGTAACTTTCCTAGTTCAGGAGGACAGACTATAGAGTTGTTACTGACATCTCTGGGATTGGAATATAATTCTCACCAAGTCTTACCGAGAACTGGAAGACAGTTTCATGGTTTTTAAAAACAGGACTGCTGAAGAAACCAGAAGATGAATGGTTGGGTGCTGTGGGGTAGCTGAGTAATGGAGCTCTTTTTCTTTAATAGATGAGGAAACTGAGTTACAAGGTCACTAATGACCCAACCTGAATTCCAGCTCTAGATCTTGTAGGCTGTAGTTCTGGGTTTGGGTGGGCACTGAGATAGCCAAGCTAATAAAGTAATGATTTGTTTTTCCTTTATCTTGATAAACTGAAAACCACAGTAATTTATAATGTGAGTCTTCCCCTTTTAAGAAGTAGGGCACTAAAGTCAAAGGCATTTTAAGTCACATTTCAGACAACTACTAGCTTTAAGAGTAAGTCCTAGAGGCCTCGAAGCAAATGTTAACCATTATTAAACATAAAAGGTGACTAATAAATCTTTTTATTAACTCGCCCTGCTTTTGAACCCAGTTACTTTATTTATACGTGGGAAAGGAAGCCGCATCTCTAGCACTGAGAGGGGAAGAGGAGAGCAGTGGAAAACAGGACAGAAATATCCAGAATCAGGCCCTCAAACAAAGGTCTGACATGCTACCGCACTTGTCACAGAAACATTTATTGTCTCACACAGTTTCCTTATGTTTGGAATGGACAGGTGATTTCGCTGGGTGGTTCTAGCTTGGAATATCATGAGGTTACATTTAGGATCTCTATCTGGACTAGAGTCATCTGAAAGCCTGACTGAGGCTGGAGGTCCTACCTCCAAGGTGACTTAAACTCCCATGCCTGGTGGGCTGATGCTGGCCGTTAATTCTTGGCCCCATGGATCTCTCCCTACGGCTGGCTGCTAGAGAGTCCTCACAACATGGTGGCTGGTTTTCCCCAGACTGAATGATCCCAGAAAGAGCAAGGCAGAAATCCCAGAAGTCACACTCAGTCATTTTCATAAATCTTATTGGTTGCACCGGCTACCTCTATTAGTTGGGAGGGATCTACATAACATTAAGAGGCAAGAATGATTGGAGACTATCTTGGAGGATGGTTGTCACCCTACTCTTGGCTCAGATAATAAAGGTTGGAGGCAACCTAACCTAATTCCAGTTATCCTTTAATTTTTGGCACTCTCTGTTACTCCTTCAAATAAGACTCTTTTTTTTAGATCAGGCATGGTGGCTCACACCTGTAATCTCAACACTTTGGGAGGCCAAGGCAGGAAGATTGCTTGAGGCCGGGAGTTTGAGAAGAGCCTGGGCAACACAGCAAGACCCTTTCTCTATAAAAATTAAAAATAAAAAGTTAACTATGCGAGATTGAGGCTGCAGTGAGCCATGATTGCGCCACTGCGCTCCAGCCTGGATGACAGCGAGACTCTGGGAGGTTTGCTGGAGCCCGGGAGTTCAACATTGCTGAGCTATGATCATGCCACTGCACTCCAGCCTGGGCAACAGAGCAATATCCTGTCTCAAGAAAATATATACTCTTTTTTAAAAAGGAGAAAGAAGGAAAAGTATAACACTGAGAAATTTTTGTTTTGTTTTGTTGAGACAGGGTCTCACTATGTTGCCCAGGCTGAAATGCAGTGGTGCCATCATAGCTCACTGCAGCCTTGCCCTCCTGTGCTCAGGTGATCCTCCCACCTCACCTCAGCCTCCCAAGTAGCTGTGAGTGCATGTGCATGCCACCATGCCCGGCTAATTTTTTATTTCTGGGATGAGGTCTCACTGTGTTGCCAGGCAGGTCTTGAACTCCTGGGCTCAAGCGATCCTCCCAACTCAGCCTCCCAGAGTATTGGTGTTACAGACATGAGCCCCAGCATTTGGCCTGCTTTTGTATTTTTGAGCAAAAAAAGTTGACAAGAGAGATTGGTTAAAAGCAAGGAGTATTGCTGCAGAACTAGAAACCCATGGTCTCAGAGTGAGAGGATTGCTTAAGCCCAGGAATTCAAGACCAGCATGGGTAACATAGTGAGACCCCGTCTCTCAAAAAAAAAAAAAAAAAGAAAAAGAAAAGAAAAAAGAAAACAAAAATTAGCTGGGCCTGGTGGTGTGTGACTATAGTCCCACCTACACAGGAGACTGAAGTAGGAGGATCGCTTGAGCCCCAGAGTCTGAGGACATAGTGAGCAGTGATTGTGCCACTGCACTCCAGCCTGGATGACAGTGAGACCTCCTGTCTCTAATGAAAATAGAAAGAAATCCATGATCTGACACTTAGCTTTATAGGACCATATAGGGCATATTTTATTTTTTCATCCAGAGCTAATCAGGCTGGTAAATTGTACCAAGAGAACACTTTATAAACCAGCTAAGAATTTAGGTTGGGCACAGTGGCTTACGCCTGTATTCCCAGCACTTTGGGAGACCCAGGCGGGCGGATCCCCTGAGGTTAGGAGTTTGAGACCAGCCTGACCAACATGGAGAAACCCCATCTCTACTAAAATACAAAATTAGCTGGACGTGGTGGCGCATGCCTGTAGTCCCCACTACTCGGGAGGCTCAGGCAGGAGAATCGCTTGAACCCAGGAGGTGGAGGTTGCGGTGCGCCGAGATCGCACCCCTGCACTCCAGCCTGGGCAACAAGAGCCAAACTCCATCT